TTACCAATCATGGTGGTCTGGTGTGCCTTTATTGCAGAGATTCCCTTCACTTTTCCAGTGGGCTTGTTTTCATCAGGGAGCCTGAGACAGTCACTCGCTCTATTGTTCACTTCTGGAGCTCAGGACAATGGCTTTTGTCCCCCTGTGCCTCTACAGTGTGTAACCAAGTAGCTGCACAGCCAAAAGGCCAGAGGCCAGGGGTGGGGGTGGGGTGGGGGGGAGTACTGTTGGAGGCACCCAAGTGGCCCAGCCATCATCTGGTGGGCCTGCCTGGGGAGGGGGGTCCTCCTCACCCTGTCCTGGTGGCTGGTGGAAAGCCTCTTCTGTATTTTTTATAATCCTTTAAAATTTGCATGAGAGTGCTGAGTGACAGCTCAGAAATTGGCTGGCTGGATTGCTCTGTTAACTCAACGAAAATAACTTGGTTTCATTCTAAGTGGCTACTTCTGAACCACTGTGATGGTTTACTCAGTCCCTGGTGCCCTAGAGGATTTTTCTTTGAAGAACAAAGGAAGTGGATATAAATTTTAATGAATCATATTCTAGCTTGTGGCTCAAAGGGGCACCTTACTTAGGCTGTAGAGAAGTGAAAACAAACATATTTGGCTTTATGAAGCAGCAACCCTGGGTTTTCCTCTAGGGGAAATCCAGCTTGCATGGTCTTTAAAAATGTCTCTTCCTTTAAATAAGATCTAAAATGAGGCATTTAATATAATAAAAATTTCCCACCTCACCTCAAAGAACTGATGTTCTCCTAGTGCTATTTAAAAGGGCACCTAAAAATATACATTGTAGATTTTTCTGTAGCAACTTTGCCACTGACAGTGGGCCAGTGGGATAGGTTAACACTCCTGTGACAAATTTTGTTCTCATCTAAACATCTACCAATAAGACTGGACAATATGTTTAAAGGGTATATGATATTTTTAAGCAGTTTCCATTTATTTTAAAATTAGTTAAATATACTAACAAGTATTTTATACAATCTAAAAAAATACATACATAGCCTAGTGGTATAACCAGACATTTCCCAAACATTTCCTTGCCCAATTACCTTGGAGAAGACTCCAAAAATTGTTAAATCAAACAAGACCTTGTATCATCTTAGGTTGGAGGTCTGCAGCAGAAAAATGGAATGAAATTGTGGAAGGTACCCCTTGATTTTTAAAAAGCGGATCAGGAATCAGAAATCTAGTCCCCATTTCCTTTTGTACAGTCATTAAACCTGAAATTGTGAAGATAATTATTAAAATTTGGCCTTCTGTTTCCTGATCTTACGGTGAATGTGAGATGAATGTCAAGATGTGAGAGCAATCTGGCAGAAACATCTGTCATTGATTTCCAGGGTTGACTGGATGATATTACTCATCTTTCTATTTCTCCTTTTGGATCTTCTTGGAAATCTTGTACAAAGGGGAGAATTTCTCAAAGACAATTTTTGGTTCTTAAAGGTATATGTATAGTAAAGCAACCAATCTTTCTAACCTGCCAGGCTAATGGGATTCCTGGAACTTTTAGTGCTAAATCCTGTAAAGTCCCAGGTAAGTGTGGTGAACTGGTCACTGTAACAGATTGCTATCTCCTTTACTAGGCAGCTCTTGGTTACTGATGGCTGACTAATAATGATAGTACATTGATATTCAGGATGATTGTAAATGTATGAAAGCTATTCTCAAAAGACCACAAATGGCTTTAGTACCTTTTGGAAATGTTTCAGCAACCTATGAAACTGTATACCTGACAAGTACTTGACATTAAAAAAAAATACTGCATAGAATACCTTTTACTCAAAAAAAATTGAAGCAACATTAAACAAATGTCATTAATAATAAATGTATCTCATATTAAATGAATAAGTTCCTTGAAAGAGGGTCTATACATAACATGGACAATTTAACAATTTTCTCCAAAAATAAATAAAACTAAGCATACAGAGGCCAGGGGAGATACATGATTCTGCTCTTTCAGATAGCAACCACAGATGATTTATTTTGATGAATGAATGTTATTATCAGGGACAGACACTGCCAGAAAGATATGTTTCTTTTAAAGATGTTTCCAGATTTCCAGTAGATCTGAGGCAGCTGGTGAGAAAAACTGGACATAACTGCACAGACTATACTATGGATATCTTATCGGGTTTGTTTTATTGAAGGGGAGCAATGTTGGCGGTGCTTCTTGATATCAGAAACAGCAACAACACTTGGCATCAATGTGATCCAGATGTAGGCGAAGGAGATCAACTGGAAAGCCAAGACCATCTCTTCCAGATGCAAGGAATGTAGGTGGATGCAAACAATACTCTTGTTGAGATTTTTTCTTCATGTGTCTTTTAAAAAATAAATAAAAATGTGCCAGGAAAGGTATAAAGACTTTAAATGGTATAAATGGTATAAAGGTATGAAGGCTTTCAATGTTGTCTTTTTTTTGTTGTTGTTTTTGTTGTTGTTGTTGTCTTTTGTTTTAGTAGATGAAATAGATTCACATCACTTACCAGCACATATCTATCTAGCTCTTCAGCAATTTAAGGAAAAGAAGGCAGAATTTTTCATTTTCAATTTACATTCTTTAGTCCCTCTTACCAAGGAAAGCTCTTAGCTTGATGCTTGATCCTCTACTCAATAAATTCTCAGCTGTAGCCCTTGGCAGACAATGATGTGAGGTTAAGCATTAATCCTCTTAAGGCAATGCAATATCATTTGAATATATTTAATGGCTATGTAAAATAATATGCTTAATGGGAAAAGATGATTAATTTAATCTTAAAGGCCTTTTCCTTTATCATGTGATTCCTTTTAATCTAAAAAGGATTCCTTCTCCCCTCAAAAGCATACAGAGTGCCACAGCAAAAATTAAATTATTATTTTTATTAGGTAAACAATCACATTTTAAGATTATTCCACTGATAACAGAAGTGGTTCAATGTAAAGTTTCGATATAGGAAGCAACCTGATTAAAAAAAAATAGCTTAGTCCTGGGAAGAGTGCAAATCATATGTCATCACTGTTAAATTACAGCTACACACTCTTCTAAAGGAACTTTGGCTACACAGAAGAGAAATATGCTCTGGAAATAGTCCCTCTGTGTGTGCAATGTGCTAATAAATGGATATGTCAATGAAATTAAATTTCTTAACTAGAATATCTCAGAGTGAGCAGTGCAGCAACAAATGACCTGTTTACCAGGACTTAGGAAGAATATCCTTTTTCTTTCCAGAAATTTAAAGATGAAAAGAAATTCTTAAATTTCCCCACATTCATTTTGTGTAGGTAACACCTTATATCTTGTGTTTCTCTTTATCACATTCAGTTATTTTAAATTAGGTTATATCTTTTTAGCTCATGCATCAAAACCTTTTCCTATGTTTCTTAGGCATGTCTTTCTTCTTTAAACTATATTTTTAATATCCACTATTACAAATATGCAGGATGATCTATTAAACCCTTGCCCCTCTCTGTACTCTTCAGTGTTTATCATTATGCTGTTATACTATCATTGTACATATATATCTACAATGCACAAATGTTTTTCATATTTTAAAAACTATGTAAATAGTGTCACATTGTACTTTTACTTCTGAAATCTACTTTTCTTACAACATTATGATTGTAACTCTAGTTAATTCATTTTAACTGCTCTATGGCATTTCAGTGTGGATATATAACATTTTATTTATTTTGTTGATAAACATTGTTTATTTTCTTTACCATAATCCTGCAGTAAATTTTAAATATTTTCTTGTGCATATATGTAAGAGTGTCTTTTCTTTTATTTTCCTTGAGATACAGTCTCACTATGAAGTTCAGGCTTGCTTTGAACTGTTTAGCCCAGGCTGGCCTCAGACTTGTGATGATACTCCTGTCTCAGCCTCCCCAGTGCTAGGATTATAGGCATGTGCACATGTGTAAGAGTTTCTTTAGGGTAGACACCTAGAACAAAAAACCCTGCCAGGTTGAACAAATATGCAAATTTATTAGATCAACTACTATATTGCTCATTTAAGTAGTTGTACTAATTTATTACTCCACCAGCAGTAAATGAAGGTTTGTTATAAAATCTTTTTTAATACTGATATTATCAGGCTTTTAAATGTCACCTAATCCAATAAATGTTATAGCTTTAGTTTTTTTTCCAATTAAGTTTATTGGTACATTTTAGGTATAAAATACAGTTATATTCATCATTGGGATTTGTACCATTACATGAGTATCTTGGTTCTTATTTTTTTTCCCCTTCCCTTGCCCTCCCTCCACCCCCTCCACCCTT